GAAGACAAGGTTCGTGATGCTGAGGACAAGGTAACTCACGCTGAGGACGAGGTTCCTGACGCTGAGGGCAAGCCTGACGCTGAAGACAAGGTTCCTGACGCTGAGGACAAGGTGCCTGATGCTGAGTTTAAGGTTCCTGACGCCGAGGACAAGGTTCCTCACGCTGACGACAAGATTGCCGACGCTGAGGAAAGGTTCCTGACGCTGAGTACAAGGTTCTTGACGCTGAGCTCATGGTTCCTGACGCTGAGGGCAAGGTTCCTGACGCTGAAGACAAGGTACCTCACGCTGAGGACAAGGTACCTCACGCTGAGGACAAGGTACCTCACGCTGAGGACAAGGTTCCTGACGCTGAGGACAAGGTTCCTGACGCTGAGGACAAGGCTCCTGACGCTGAAGACAAGGTTCCTGATGCTGAGGACAAGGTACCTCACGCTGAGGACAAGGTTCCTGACGCTGAGGACAAGATACCTCACTCTGAGGACAAGGTTCTTGACGCTGAGGACAAGGTTCCTGGCGCTGAGGAAAGGTTCCTGACGCTGAGGACAAGGTTCCTGACGCTGAAGACAAGGTGCCTGACTCTGTGTTTAAGGTTCCTGACGCTGAGGACAAAGTTCCTAACGCTGAGAACAAGGTTCCTGACGTTGAGGACAAGGTTCCTGACGCTGAGGACAAGGTCTGTGTTTAAGGTTCCTGACCTAACGACAAGGTTCCTAACGCTGAACACAAGGTGCCTGAGACGCTGAGGACAAAGTTCCTAACGCTGAGAACAAGGTTCCTGACGTTGAGGACAAGGTTCCTGACGCTGAGGACAAGGTACCTCACGCTGAAGACAAGGTACCTCACGCTTAGGACAAGGTTCCTGACGCTGAGGACAAGGTTCCTGACGCTGAGGACAAGGTTCCTGACGCTGAGGAAAGGTTCTTGACGCTGACGACAAGGTTCCTGACGCTGAAAACAAGGTGCCTGATGCTGAGTTTAAGGTTCCTGACGCTGAGGAGAAGGTTGCTAACGCTGAGGACAAGGTTCCTGACGCTGAGGACAAGGTACCTCACGCTGAGAACAAGGTACCTCACGTTGAGGACAAGGTTCCTGACGCTGAGGACAAGGTTCCTGACGCGGAGGAAAGGTTCCTGACGCTAACGACAAGGTTCCTAACGCTGAACACAAGGTGCCTGATGCTGAGGACAAGGTACCTCACGCTGAGGACAAGGTTCCTGACGCTGAGGACAAGGTATCTCACTCTGAGTACAAGGTTCCTGACGCTGAGGACAAGGTTCCTGACGCTGAAGACAAGTTTCCTGACGCTGAGGACAAGGTTCCTGACGCTGAGGAAAGGTTCTTGACGCTGACGACAAGGTTCCTGACGCTGAAAACAAGGTGCCTGATGCTGAGTTTAGGAGAAGGTAGCTTCCGATGCGAACAAGGTGCCTGACGCTGAGGACAAGGTTCCTGACGCTGAGGACAAGGTACCTCACGCTGAGAACAAGGTACCTCACGTTGAGGACAAGGTTCCTGACGCTGAGGACAAGGTTCCTGACTCTGAGGATAAGGTTCCTGACGCTGAGGACAAGGTTCCTGACGCTGACGACAATTGGTATTCACAGGTTTCTGATATTGTTCTAAGTCTGGTGTGAAATTGATCTAATGTCTCATTGTGTTCTTGAGTTGTTTATCGAAAACGATAAACTTCGTACCGCCGATTCTTTTGAGGGTCGAAGTAAGCCTTTAAGTCTGTTTCGCGATGTCGTAGTCCGTATCAGTTCCTGTCTCGGGATTTGTTTAAAAATCTCGCGAACTCTCGGTCCGGCTTGATATAGCAAGAGTGCACGTTTTCGCTTTGGATCCGTTATTCCACTTGCGGTTATATACATTTCGAAGTCTGACTGCCAATTGTTCCATCGTGTCGAAAGGCTTGTTCCGATTTTTGCATCTGGGCAAAATTCTGGCATTGGAGTTATTGTTACAGATTGCATGATCTGTACAGCCGGTTGCTGCAGTGGTTGAGGCTCTGCCTGCTCTTCCACCATCGTTTCGTTTAATATAATACGTTTATCTTCGTCGCCATTATAATGTTCTCTTATTTAATATACTTCTTGATATCTCGGCTACATGTAAACAACTGAATATATAATGTCCATACTCTAAATATAAACTAATCGTAATACGTGCGTTAATGATTAATAGACGTACATTACTATACTAAGTCACCAGCTCTGCTTGCACGATCCGCCGGGTTATCACTCGTTGGTACATGTCTCCAAATCAGATCTTGGTGGTCATGGATCTTCTTGACACGATTGGCCACGAATTGTTTATAATCCCCATTTCCCTTGATTCAGTGTAAAACCACTGTGCTGTCAGACCAACAATAACTACTTTCAACAGGAAATCCATTCAACACTTCGGTTACATTCACTACCAGGTTGGCGGCCATATGTGCTGCCACCAACTCTAAACGCGGGATTGTCAGTTCTTTCTTCGGTAATCTAGCTCTTGCTGCTACCAAGCCTTGGTTTGTGCCCGATTCCTGATCAACGACTGCATACACACACGCTACTACCCCGTTTTTGCTGGCGTCTCCAAACGATTGTAGCTTGATGCTTTCGATTGGCTCTCTATGGACTACTAACGATCTTGGAACTTCGACATCAACCGGCAGACCATTCTCCCACTGATTCCACTCTTTGATCAGATTATCAGGCATTGGAGCATCCCAGGCTATCTTCGCATCACATGTGGACCGGTATATCAGCTTACCTCGCAACGATAATGGTGAAATGAATCCGAGTGGGTCATATATTTTAGCAAGCCTAGCTAAAATACCTCGTTTCGTTTTCACGGTCTCTTCTGTTGGTAGGGTTACGTGAAGTGTATCTGACTCTGTTGACCATTCGAGACCAAGTAGTTTGCAGCCTCCCCCATAGGTAGTCCCCAACTGTTGTTTTGCATAAGTAAATTCTCCTTTTGGCAGATCTTCCGACTCTAAATTTTGATCATTTGAATGCCATTTGTGAAGGTTAAAACAGCCCTCTTTAAACATTTCTGTTATCTTCTCTTTGAACTCACGAGCTTCCGCCACTGTTGTAGATCCGGAGATCAGGTCATCAACGTACAGTTCATCTCGAAGTTTAGCTACGATGTCCGGTTCTCGGTCCACCCAGGTGCTCAAATGCATGTCAAGAACTCCCCCCAGCAAGAATGGGGAGGGAGCTAGACGAAAAGGCACTCTAGCAAATCTCAAAATTTCAACGTCAGACTGTCCGTCCGTCTGCCAATGGAAGCGGAGAGGGTTCCCTCACTCGAATCTGATGAAACGCTTTCTGTAAATCATCATTCAATGCTACCAGGTGGAAGCGTCCTCTGAGTAATACATTCCAAAGTTTATTTGTCAGACTGGGCCCTGGGTTTAGACATTCATTAAGTGAAGGCGCTGCGTTATGAGCTCTAGCCGATGCATCATAGACAATCCTGAGCTTTGTTGATTCCGCAGAAGTTCGCAGCACTGGTCGGTGGGGGATATAAAACTCTCTACCTTCGCTGGGATTGCTCACACTTTCAATAATCCCTTCTGTCTTTTGCTCCTCCACAATTTGGTTATACTTAGAGCTCAGTCCCGCACGATCAAGTCTACTTGTCAAACCTGCCAGGCGACGTAAGCTGCTAGCTCGATTGTTTGGTAATGGGGGATGGTTTCCACGCCATGGTAACCCTGTCTCATATCGTCCAGTTTCATCCCGAGTAAGTTGCTCCTTGAACTCATCGTAGACAATACTCTGGCTGTTGGTTGGTCTATCTTCTAAGCCCAAGACGTCAAGCCGATATAGTTCTTCTTAGTCAGCTTGAGATGTCTGAGCTAGAAGCATACTTGACACATCCACGGATTCCTTGCCTGGGGACATAATAGTCCAACCGAACCGAGTCAACTCGGCTACAGGTTGACCTGGAAGACCAACTCTAGGAGGTTTCTCTGTCTTCAGCTTCGCAAACTCACTCGCCCCGAGAATAATATGAACTGGAAGTTTATCTTTTATGTCATGATCTTCCATAGCAACTCCTTTCATATGTGAGTGGTTCTTGATGATCTCTTCATACCTTGGGTTATCCAAAAGTAACAGTTCGTTCTTGTTAACTTTAGTTACTTCCACCGACAAGGAAAAATCACCAGTGGGCCCCCAATTTGAATAGTTGACAGTTCAACCTCTCTTGTTGTTGTTCCAAGCATCATGTCAATCTTCCTTACTTCTTTCTTGGAGCATATTTTGGGAATCTGATCTAATAATGTAGCCGACACACAGGAGCTCCCTGCACCAGTGTCTAATAGAGCCCGACACTTGAACCCACCTACTTGTACAATAACCACTGGATGAATAACATTTGTACTACTACTAGCTCCGAGGAATTGTTCAGTCACCTGATCACAAATTGATGTGTGATGTCTCTGTTTGCATTTTTGACATCCTAGCTTGCTCTTGCACTCACTGGCACGGTGCTGTGCCCCTGTGCAATTAAAGCACAGTCCCTTTTGAGCTAGAATTTTCTTTCGTTCTTCTCGGATTTTGACTTTCGAACAGTTTGTCCCTTTATGCGTGCTTTCTTCGCAGTAAACACATTCTGGTCGCCGTGATTTCTGTTCTGCATCTTGACAATGGTAGAACCTTGAGTAACCTTTTCCTTTCCCACTGCGCTGTTGTTGCTCTAATTTCTCTTCTATTGGATTGATTTCACGCCATGTTTTTAGGGCCTTTAGGAGATCTTCATATCCCCAGTTTTGCCAGTCCTCTTTTCCATGAACAAGATCAACTTTTATACCCTTTAATTTATCTAATGTTGCCCGAACATTCCCTTTTACATCAGCCAATCTATCAAGGGTATCAAGGCTCTGAACATTGTACCTAAGCTGTTTGTAAAATTCATTGATCTTTGCTGGATCTTTGCCATTAATAACTGGTAAGCTCATAATGTTAACCACATATGTATTTACAACATCAGCCATCTGTCCGTATTCTGATTCCAAAACTTCTTTCGCCTTTTCATAACCCGCTTCGGTGAATGGAAGACCATCTATATCTGTCCGAACTTTCTCATCCAACAGTTCTTTTAAATAAGAAAATTTTGTTAAAATCGGTATGTCTGTGGAGTCAATTTCAGATTTAAACTTCCCCCAAAATGGGAGCCATAAGTCAATTTTTCCATTGAACTTTGTGATGGGTAGTTTGGGTAATTTTGCACTAGAGGTTGGTTTACTGTGTTCATTGTTTTCACCTTGTTTCGTTTTCTCTAACTCTTCCTGAAATTTTGCCTTTCGTTCAAATAACTCAAGTCCAAATGCCAACTTTCTTTCGTGTTCGTGAGCTGTTTTGGCTTCTCTTTCATCATCATCCACTTTCTTGATCTGTTGATCTAATAATTTGATATCCTGATCTCCTTTCTCAAGTTCGCTTTCATATAGTTTTCTCCACTCAGCTATAGCCCCTTCATCTTCATCTTTCGCAATTTTTTTTCTTCGATTGTTTCCTTTAGCTCGTTTACTGCTTTCGATATATTAATAATACTTTGTTTTTGACGTTCAGATGCTTGTCGATCTTGTTTCTCTAATATTTCACTCGTTTTTGTGCGCCTAAAGTTAAGGGTCTTTATCTTATGTTTGTGGTGTTACTCTGAGTGCATATCCACACCGGGCGAGCTTGAAAAATATGCCCGGCCACGATGGGATTCGAACCTACGACCTTTGGAATACTAGCCTTGCTCGATAGTTCGGCTATTTGTCTCTCCATATTGTGTCACAAATTTCAATATATAGTCGAATACTCACATTTGTTTAATACGTAATTGACAAATTCAACTCGAAAATCCCGTCGAAAAGGTGCTACTGTGTCGTGAATTCGCCTCCCGAGTGTCCAGGATAAGTCACAAAATGTTATTGCTCACTCACAATTGTATAACCCCTTTAATAAATCTCAAACTTTAACAAACAAAATCAACTCTCTCACGCATATACGGATTTTGTGGGGTGGTGCCAGGGGGTGCTACCCCCCCCAATATTAGCTATAACCCCCCCCCAAACAAAATGTCCACCCCTCCAAAAAATATTTTCAACCCTCCCCCCAATATTCGGCATAATACAAAATAATTAATTAGTCCACTCCAACGTGCAGAGTGTTGATGATACAAAATAAATGTAGGAGTACACTCAAATAGTAAAAGACAGTGCAATACTCTGAAACTAATCGCTCGTCGCTTGCATTCACTGGTTTATTGGACCAATTGTAAAGTTTTGAAACTCTATTATCTCCCCTGAAGAATAGAGTTTGCAGTGCCTTGTCATGCAAATAGCTTAGCAAATAGCTTGCTCGCAAGGGACGTTTGGAATTTTTACGAACATTATTTTTAGTTTTTAATTCTTTAGGAAATAGACTTGCCTAGATTTAATCTTTACGCCCCAAATATTATTTACATCGGAGTTGCATCATAAATTATACTCGGATTCAAACGACACAATGTCAATGACGTTATAAAAGTAAAAGCATATTGTGTATTGGCCTATTGGGTTTACACATTTACAGGTTCATTTAACTTTAGCTCTCTCAAGTCTCAACAGACAATCGGACATGCCAAATCCATTGATATGACAATTTCAAAAAACTTTTTTCGAAGCTACAAATCATGATTTTTTTCAAATTTTTCCTGTGATGCTTTGTTTTTTGCTCTCTAGACTCCCTCTCGCGGTTCTAGTGCTCCACCCCTAGAATATAGACCTTACTGGGGTTTGGTGACACTTTGTGTTGCTTCAGTCACCTGCTCACAGCTCACCCCCCTAAAATTTCTGGCACCACCCCAGTAAAAAATATGAAAATCCGTCTATGCTCTCACGTTTAACGTTTTTAGTACGTTTTTCCCGTCGCCATCTTTGAACCATTACATATTTACTTACATAACGTACTTTTATCGTCTAGCCCGCGAACGGGCAATTTATCCATATCTATCCCTATTTATCCCTACACCGGTAAATCTCCAACAAAATAAACTGAAAAACATACAAATACAAATCAACTTATATGTTGTTATTATATGTTCGACTATAGGAGTATTATTATTATATGACATATTAGTGTAACTTAGTGTTATAATTCAATTAAAAGGCAATATAAAGACACTAAAATAAATAAACTGAAAAACATACAACACTAACACAGATCAACGCTTTGGCTCGCTGTGGAAAAAGGAGACTTTTAGAAATAACGTTTAAACACAAGATTGTCTGCTCCTGCAATCTGCCATGCATATACTGTACGTAGATCGCAAGTTACGCACTCGTGGGCTTAGCAAAGTGCTCCAGGATTCAAATTATTACAATCTTTGATTTTTAAAGGTCTCCTTTTTTTATACACCCTGTAGTGCTAGGGCATTGAAATTCTAACAATACTTTATTTCAATAGTTTTTGGTTTTTTTGGGACACCCTGGTCACAGAATAAAGATCAGTAACATAAGGGCCACTCAGCGGTGCAACGTGTCCTCGTTTTTTATGCAAAAATATGCAGTTTACTGGCCAGAAGGCGGAGCAGCCAGCCAGTACAGCGGTGTTTATTGGCCAGAAAATGTCATTGACTGGCTAGGAAATTGGCGGCCAACATGCGTAATGCGACATGCGCGAGGACAGAAACTTCAAAGCTTCCGACGTAAGTGACCCTTCTATATGGATCTTTATTCTACAGGGTGTATAAAAAAAGCGCAACCTCGGAATTTCCCAAGAAATCGACATTGTTTTAAAGACAAAAGATTTTAGGCGCCTGGGAATTTAAAATAGCACAACTGTAAAAATTACTGCACACGCGAGTGCATAAAGCAAAATTTATGCATTTATTTAATGCACAACAGTAGTAATATGATCTATTAGCAATTCGATTTCAATTCCCAGCGGCCTAAAATCTTTTATGCTTAAGAATTGCACAGTAATTTCTTAGGAAATTCCGAGGTTGCGTTTTTTTTATACACCCTGTATGCCCTGGTCTAATTAAAATTCTTTTGAATTGACCATTTGCGTAATAGACTACATTTTGATCTAAACACTTAAGTCTAGACAAAAATTTCATCACAGCTTGAGAGAGCATCACAAAATTAGTAATACTCCAAAGTTTCGTTGCAAAATGTTGTAAAATGCGTAAAATATAGCCTTGCGAAATTTGCAATTTTCAGTCATTTTAGATTACAAACGGGAAATTGACAGCCTCAAAGCGCATCGGACTGTCAATTTCCCGTTTGTAATCTAAAATGACTGAAAATTGCAAATTTCGCAAGGCTATATTTTACGCATTTTACAACATTTCCTAACGAAACTTTGGAATATTACTAATTTTGTGATGCTCTTTCAAGCTGTGATGAAATTTTTGTTGAGATCAAAATTTCGTCTGTTACGCAAATGGTCAATTGGAACACCAACATGGTGACTGTGACGTCTAAATTTGGAGTGCTCTTTTGCGCTCAATATTGAGTGCAAAGATTAAATTTTTCACAGTAATATAAAGCCCCTGGGCAAACCAAAAGTAATATAAAGCTCCTGGGAAAAACAGTCTTTTTGTATAATCGGAATTAGCTTGCCAGCAAAATTTAAACAAGGCAAGGGGTCTATTGTCAAGTAAAATAAACATCGTATAATTAAAACCTATCCCATCCTTTACACAGAGTTATTTCACACACACTATACGTTTAAAATTGTAATACTTAACTCCACGAACTGAACAAACTTTCAATACAGTTATAAACGGCTGTGCTATGGTTCCTGCATGTGCGTTTGTTTTGGAACAGATGAATGATGAATGATGTGAACGAGTAGATAAGCTATGAATGTTTTGAGCATATGTACCCTTATCTCAACATTCATAACTCATCCATTCGTTCCCACCCAACCGAACAAGAAATTCGCACCTAAAATCCTGCTCCGATTAGTTCCGGCATGGAAAGCTTGTAAACATGCTTAACCTCTTTTCGTCCGCCCTTTCTTTTTCCAAATAGTCCGTCAAGATACGATGGTCTGGAAACCCGGCAACCTTGAAAGATGTTGATGTTGAACTATACCTCACCATGTGTGCAAATCCTTTGTCTCAACATTAAATATTATTCAACGTGGTGGCATGCACGTTTCATTCAGCTATCCCTGTTGGACGATAAAGCCTGGTTCACAATGGTCGTAATTCATCGGCGATCTATTGTATTCTTTTGCGATGCCTCATGGACAATGCATTTTACATATCAATGACCACAGACAATGGAAATCCACGATTCTTACGACCAGTGTGAACCAGGCATTACTTGATTATACGAAAATAAAATGAGCTCAATCACCGTGACTGTGCACAAATTAACAAAAACTCAGGTAAAAACATAACACAGTGACTTGTGTTTAGTTTCCAGACCCTCCTATTTTGATAGACTGTGCTTCGCCAATGCCTCACGCAAAAAGGGCTATATAAACATAGTGATTTCTAAAACAACATATATACAACACATCGTTATAATACATGCATCAGTATTTACCCTTCAGCCCACTCTCTAAAACACTCTGGTTAAATTTTCCCATGGTTAACCTAGAAATAAAGTCTGGTTTACACTATCAAAGTTTCTGTGATCTCAGTAGGAATTTTGCATTGGTAAATTCTACGTTTTGAAGGATTTGTAAGAAATGTTTGAACAAACTGACTCAACGTTAGACATCGAGTCAGTTCCCTCAACATTTCTAACAAATCCTTCAAAACGTACAACTTACCGATGCAAAATTCCTACTGTGATCACAGAAACTTTGATAGTGTAAAGAAGGCTTAACCCTATTTGGGTCAACAATAATATTTCGGTTTAAATTTCTTGGTTATTTTAACGTTTTCCCACTATAGTCTGGTTAAATTGACCAGACTATATGTTGGGTGGATAATTAACCACGGCTCAGGTTATATATCCACCTATAGCATAGTCTGGTTAGTCTGGTTATTTTAACAGGGACGTCCTGGGTCATATATAACCAGATTCCTGGTTACATTAACCAGACTATGGTACGAAGTGAGATAAACTAACCAGGAAATCTAACTAGAAATATGAAGGGGAATTTCAACCAGAGTGCAGTTTTTAGAGTGCAGCTTTGGAAATTAAAAATAGAAAGACATCATTTGTGTAATCAGTCTATACTGCCTACCTATCTTGGTGACAGATTTAAAAGTCTGGAATAGTTTCCTTTATAGTTCAAACAATTGGACCATGTTCGCCATTTCTGGCACAGAACTATACAAGCCTGCATAAAATATGCATTATGCAGGCTTATTTTAAAGCTTTTCATTTAATCTTCACATCGTTCTTCTCAAGTGATGGAAACACATTTTATTTACAGCTGTGATTCCTTCCTGTACTGGGGCTTAGTCCGTTTAGGCTTCGCGGTATTGTTGCTCCGTCGGTTGTCTGGTAGACTACACCGCTGTTCATCAATACGGTTGGATTGCAGACGCAATATTAGGCCAAAGAAATCTTCATCTGGCACGGTAGGGGCTTGTTGTATAAGATCGGGGTCACAACGTTGGTCGTTGATACGCGATTCCTGCAAGAAACCGCCGATAAAGTTAATTAGGATTTTATGACCTACGACGCCACTGGACGACGACAGGACTTCAAACCAAGAAGATTAAATCTTCATGGAAAGACAAAAATAGAATCACCGTTTTGTCCACTTACGACTCCTCCTCTCCCATGTGTACGTACTAAACGAATGCCCCCCATGTCTCCATTAGAAAGTTATACCATATTTTTCAACTCAATTCTTACCTGAGATTTTATGATCAACTCAAACATGTCTTCTTGAGTGATGGAATTGACTTTGCGACTTCTTGCAGATCTGCTCGACTTACTCCCAATACGTCCTTCAAGAAAGAGAACTAATTTAGTACAGAGCGCGTTTTTCAATTTCAGAAATATCTACACAACAAGGCTATAAAATTCCCGAGTATTCGTCCGACTCAAAAACATTGTAGTAAAATATTCCACTCGAAGTGACTCACAATTTTGGGTAAAGTTATTGAAAATTTCTGAGCATGCAAATTTACTCTTTCTTTTAAGTAATGTTTTAAATTTACTTCACTCAAAAATTAGTAAATTCGGACATAAATTTGAGTAATTTTACTTTTTAGGATTTTTTGCATCGTCATTGGGGGCTGAATTATTCCAAAAATTAAACACACTCCGTTACACTCCGTAAATTGTTAACACTTTAAAGATGATGTCCACTCCTGTGCACATGCGCGAACTTTGTTTACGTTTTGAACTGCTATATTTGTAAAATATGATATACTAACTGAATATCTAACACTTTTCATGTTCGCTATGCTTGTAAATGAATATAAATTGTACGTTTCAATTCAAAAAAGTTCGAAAGATGCAAAATTTGGGCAATCTTTATATCTGGGGGTCCCCCTTTGTTATGAGCAGAACTGATACGCAGAACGGAGTGGAAATCATCTTTAATACTCTATGTTTTGATTATTTCTTTACAGTCATCTAATTCAGCAGGATTAAAACGCATATAATTCAAATGTTAACAATTTACGGAGTGTCTACTGTTTTGTGTTAAATACTAAATTACTCTATGGCGACCGTCATTATGTGTGTGTGTGTGTGCCTGTCTGTGTGTGTTTTTCTTTCAGCACACGATAACTCAAAAACTATCAAACGTATTGGCACGAAAATTTGCGGGACCCATGCATGACATTTCCCAAAGGACAAATTGATTAAATTTTGGTTAAATTTCATTGAAAATAGGATGGAATAAAGTTTGTCTTGCTTTGATTTGACGGGCAGAGTGAACTATAAATGCGTTATTAGCCCATTGTATAATTTATGCATAGGTTGTGACTTGTGAAAGTGAGTGCCCTCTATAGTTTTTACTCCAAAAATCCTCGTACATGCGCTTTCCAAAAAAATCTTTCGAAAAATCTTAAAATCGTGCGATGGCTGAATGTGCAGTGGCTGCTGAATGTCAACATGTGACAGCAAAATTTGTACGAACTACTAAAACCTTGTACGGTTGTACTAACTACACAAAAAAATACTTGAATTTTGTTTCATGTTTTAACGTTTTTGTCCGTACGTATATTGAAAAATATCCTTAAAAAAAAACGAGTTCATGGGCGGACCTCAGGCTCTGCTAAAAACCAGCATATACATTCAGTCGTTCTTGCTAATGCGCTGTTTCCTATTAATTTAAAGTAATAAATTTTTATCTTAAATTTAACGCCCACGTTTCCGAGGAAATTTCATTAACGTCTCCGCGAGGAAAAGTTAATTACAGTCAAATAATAAGGAAAAGTTAATGAGACAAAGTAATGCCTTCAATTTTAGCACACTTTAACAATTAAGTCTTGCATGTACTTTAATTGAATCACAAAACATATTTTGTTTACAAATAACTATATATGACAAGCAAAAACCGTACATTGCATTAGCATGAAATATAAGGGAAAACCGTTGTCATGTCTACCTTCTTAGTTGAATCTATACTCGATTCAACCTACAAAATTTGAGGGACATGTATATAGGGACAAAGGAACGAAAAATAATCTTGAACAATTAAACGTGAATATAGCATTTTTGAGGTGGGCGATTTTTCTGGGAGAGAAATTTTGGATTTTTTAAAGGACTGGTGGACTTGATTGACAAGCGGTTGGAACATTGAACAGTATTTCACTTTTCGAGTTGCGAAAAGACCTAACGACACTGTTATAGTAATATAGTATAATATATTTGTTGAACTATTAAAAATGACTGATGTTGATTGGGGATTAAGTCAATTCTTATATGTTCAAACTTCTTCAAGAGAAATGTAGACAAACTTGAATTACTTCATATGAACTTTATTTCACTTTACTTAACTATATTTGAAGTAATTCAAGTTTGTCTTCTAATCTTATCAGCTCTACTACGGTATTGAGCACTCTACTCATATATGATTCCAAACTCGATACTTGTCTATATATATATATATATATATATATATATATATATATATATATATATATATATATATATATATATATATATATATATATATATATATCTTGTTTGTCGGTGCTGACACGTATCTGAAGAGTGCTCAATGCAGGTAAGATTTTGCAGAGCAAAACTATTATTAGTGTAGACTAAGACATGATATCTGAAGATAATTTAATAAAACCTAAACCTATTTACGATAAAAGTTACTCGAGTTTCACGCACAAAGGCGATCATCAGACTAAAGTGCTTTTACGGTGGATTGTAATTATAAGCGTAAAATTTCCTTTCGTGACAACACTTAGCTATTAATTCTGATCTTTTATTCAGTAGTGATTGTTTATCTGCGTTTTACCCCTCGATATCAGAGCAGCTTTTACACAACGCTTTACAGTTCGCCAGCCAATTTGAATATATTACAGCCGATGAAATAGAAATAATTATGCACTCAAGGAAATCCCTATTGTTTGATAAGAATGAGCCTTGGGCTAAGAAATCCAACCGCAGCCTATTTGACGTGTCAATGGGCAGTTTCGATGTCGCCGAAATCTGCGAGTTGCTCGGGCTTTTCGCACTTAGCAAGCTTAACGAAAAATGCAGCAACAACATAGACATTGGCCTATATCGAGACGACGGATTGGCCGCCATCCGTAACGCGCGCCCTAGAACAGGAGACAGAATCCGCAAGCGGTTCTGCGAGGTTTTTGCAGAATTGGGATTAAGAATAACGGCTCAAGCCAATGTATACGTGGTCAACTTTCTAGACGTCACTCTAAATCTATCCAATGGCAAATACGTGCCATATAGGAAACCAGATGACCCGCCATCATACATCAATTCTCAATCGAACCATCCACCTCCCATACTTAAGCAGCTACCATCGACTATATCCAAGAGGGTTTCGTCGCTTTCATGCAACCCCGAAGAATTCGCTAGAGAAGCCCCCACCTACGATAGCGCCCTTCAATGTAGTGGGTTTACCAGCAAACTAGAATATTCCCAACCATCACCCCCTCGCAGGAAGCGCAGAAGGAATATATTATGGTTCAACCCGCCGTACAGCATGAATGTCCGAACGAACGTCGGCATGCATTTCCTGCAATTAATAGACAAGCATTTCCCAATAGGCCACCAGCTACGGCCAGTCTTTAACAGAAATAGCTGTAAAGTAAGTTATAGCTGAATGGATAACATAGAATCTATAATCAAGCAACATAATGCTAAAATTCTCAAACCCAGCCCGACAAATGACGTTAATAGTCAATGTAATTGCCAAGACGAGAAGAACTGCCCATTAAACAATGCATGCAAGACAAAGAGCATTGTATACCAAGCTACAGTGACCCCATCGAACCAGCCACCTAAAATATACATAGGAATGACAGAAAACGAATTCAAAACGCGGTACCGAAACCACAAATCATCCTTCAACAATGTTGAGCACGCTGGAAGTACAACGCTCTCGAAGTTCATCTGGGAATCCGACACAGCTTACGCAATCGAGTGGAAAATCCTTAAGCGTGCAAATGCTTATAGGAGTGGAGGAAAGATATGTAACTTGTGCCTATCCGAGAAAATCTGCATTTTGAATGCAGATAAACAATCACTACTGAATAAAAGATCAGAATTAATAGCTAAGTGTTGTCACGAAAGGAAATTTTACGCTTATAATTACAATCCACCGTAAAAGCACTTTAGTCTGATGATCGCCTTTGTGCGTGAAACTCGAGTAACTTTTATCGTAAATAGGTTTAGGTTTTATCAAATTATCTTCAGATATCATGTCTTAGTCTACACCATAGAGCGATATCTAACTACAGACGGTACCGTTTCGGCCTAATGGGCCTCATCAGTGTAGTGCTGATGAGCAGGATGAAAGTAACTCTTATTTATAGTTACCTTATATATATATATATATATATATATATATATATATATATATATATATATATATATATATATATATATATATATATATATATATATATATATATATATATATATATATATAGACATATACATATAAAAAGTACATATTATAATACATGAATACCATAACTTGAAATGATACCATAACTTGAAATGAACTTAAAACTTTCAAAATGTGTGAGAACATCATTACAGTATTTGGTATATAACTATTTATTATATACACAAGGTCTGGATATGAGGTATTCTGCAATCTGATTGGTTCTCTACTAGCAGGATATTAGCTCATATCCTGCTAGTAGAGCAAAACAAAATGGCGGCCAAACTGAATTTACGATGTTTTGCAAACGAGAAAACGGCAAGTTGTCGCTTTTTATAGCCTTCACAGGATTAAAAACACAATGAAAAAAACTCCCACAAATTGTTTTCAGGTTAGCAAATAAATTTTTAAAATTTAAAATGGTTAAAAATATATATTTTTGAAAAAATAATCGGCCGAAAGAGCGAAGATAAAAACAAAAACAAAATAGAAAAATATTGAAAATATTCGAAAAGCAAAGTCTGTGAATTCAGACCTTGTGTATATAATAAAACAGTTATTCCACTCACTCTCGTCGAATATGAGCGATAGCCGATTCGGCGCTACGCGCCTCATCGGCTATCAGCTCATATTCGACTCGAGTTCGTAGAATAACTGTTAAATATATACTATATATATTTATACATATATACCGGGTGTCCCAAAAAAAAGTACTCCGGTTTGATTCGTAATAACTTCTAAACAAGTAAACCTTTTAAAGAGAAATAACTTGCATCAAATAGAGGAAGGACTAACTTAAATTTTGATATGTTACAGTTGTATTTCACTTAAAAATTCACGGAGATATTAATGTTTAAAATTGGGAGCATATTTCTGGATGTGTCTGAAATATGCAAAAAACGGCGTATCAAATATTAACCAAGATTTGCCCGACTGAAACATGCACGATTAGCAGTAAATAAATGACACTTGACAAATTGTTTATTATGAAACAAGTCTGTATTATTATCTACAAAATACAAGCAATATTTATTTGTCCGAAATCTGTGTGTGTTCCTAACTTCCTAGCACGAATACGTTTCCTTATTTCATGAGACCACTGCATCGCGAAGGATCGTCATGGATCGTTCGTAGTTCTGAATTAGGGCATGCTGCCACAATGGAATTGTGAAGCTCTTCTAACTTCGGCAATGTTCTGAAATCTTGTTAAGAACACTCAAACTCATTTGCCTTTTCTTAATCTTTTTAAGTTCACAATAAACTGAGAATGAAACACAATCAAACCATACAAATCTGTAAGACATAACAATTAAGCATGCAACTCCCTGGAGACATCCAACATTTTTGGAACAAAACGTAACAAAATAGTAGCGTTGATACTGTGATGTGTATTTGCCAAATGCAATCTTATTTCCTTCATTTCAGAATAATATTCATCCTGTTCCAACCGAGAAATAATCAACTCTGTTTGGAACCCATGAAAAACATAAAAAATTAGGCTAAGAAAAATTTAAGCGCCTGCCTTGCATGGTCTTTCATGTACCCTATAAATTTGTAAAGTTTGTAAAGACCTATTAAATACTTGCATTATTTCGTACGTTCATATTTCAGGAAACAATTAGCTAAGACTTAGCTTACATGTAAGAAGTCTAAATCTAAGTCATATCCCTTAAAAACCCTAACGACAATTCGCTGAAATACAAGTTAGTCTGATATGTCATCAAGCAAACAAACGCTGAAGTTAATATTTGATATGCCGATTTTCGCTAATTTTAGACACATCCCAAAATATGCTCCCGATTTTGAACATTAATATCTCCGTGAATTTTTAAGTAAAATACAACTGTAATATATCAAAATCTAAGTTAGTCCTTCCTCTATTTAATGCAAGTTATTTCTGTTTGATAACTTTACTTGTTTAGAAGTTATTATACATCAAACCGGAGTACTTTTTTTTGGGACACCCGGTATATGTATATATATATAGAAAGAAAAAAAATGAAAATTTTTTGAAAATCCCGAGGTTGGAAAAAAAATGAACTTTTTTTTGAAAATTCCGAGGCTGATCATCCTTGGTCTCTATAATATTATATATATATATTATATATATTATATATATATATATATATATATATATATATATATATATATATATATATATATATATATATATATTTATATATATATATATATATATATATATATATATATATATATATATATAATCTTAAATCCGTCTGACCGTGTAGCTCAGTTGGTAGAGCGTCGATCTAGTAATTCGAAGGTAGCGGGTTCAAGACCCAGCCGCGGCAGACAACATCTTTCTGCTTGCGCTGGGTATGGAAATTATATAATACACACTCTAGAACATTTTCATCTTAACATATATATATATATATATATATATATAAGAAAAAAAATGAAAATTTTTTGAAAATCCCGAGGTTGGAAAAAAAATGAACTTTTTTTTGAAAATTCCGAGGCTGATCATCCTTGGTCTCTGTATATTATATATATATATATATATATTATATATATATATATATATATATATATATATACTTAGTTTTAGCCTGCACGAGTGCACCTCTTTTTTCTTAGTCTGCACAACTGCACCTCTTGCTTTGAGTAAATATTTTACTATTTTTTAACTATTCAGTTTAACTTTAACCTCCAAAAATTGTAAACCATCGACGTATATCAACCTCCATCGGTTGCAAAGTCTGTTTTCAATTAATTCAAAAGCCTTCAAAGAAAACAGACGTTATATACGTGTTATATTTTGTTTTAAAATTATTTTAAAAAAAACATTTAAACGTTTCCACAAATAGAAAAGAAGTTCAACATATTTTGTTTCGCTCAGTAACATACAAGAGTATGATAACTTCACTGTTCATCATGCAGTAAAAAATATAATTCAAAAATGGTTTTCTGAAATATCAAATTAACAATAAAAAACTGTGAACAAAAAAACTACCAAAATATACTCAAAATACTTTTACTTAGCCTAACTCAGTAAAATGAATAACATTTAACTATATATAAGCATTGGACTTTGTTTATATGCACAAATTAAATTTCAAAAAAGCTTATACATTCAAAAATTTACCGCAGAAAAAATAAGATATTTTATTATATAAACATATGTGTTATATAGAGTTTTTGGCCGCTGAGAAAAATCGTATTTAAACACACGTAAAAAACCCGATATTTTTACGTGTGAAAATATCATTTGTTGTAAAACGCATTGCCACGGACGTTCAACACTCGAAATAAATCTGGTATTTCCGCGCACCCATGTAATTTATCCTCTATATATATAGTTCATTACAGAAAAGACTTTAAAATAGCTTACTTCGATACAACTGCAGTTTTGATGCTCTGGAAGCCATTGTTTCCGTGACAACATTAGTGTTGAAACCGTTACTGTGTTAGCTGTTCTGCCCGCATAACCAGATTACAATGCTTATATATAATAAAATATGAACAGGATCTTATCTATTAATTAAACGAAGATAAAACTCCCAAGCAAGTTCAAGTAAATTGCGGTTAAGGTAAACAAAAGATAACCACATTATTATCTATTAGTCGTATGAATCTGTTTTTCAAGAAATATATATGTGAAGTCCATATATATATATATATATATATATATGTTATGTAACAGTAAAAATTATGTAACATGGAACTAGACTCAACTCAACTAGAGCTAACTATATTCTTAGTCGATAAAAGTTATGTTTTGCATGACCGTATTTTAAAAAATCCCGAGTCAAAAGAATTGCAATATTAAATATACATGGTGTTTCTTACAAATCAAAACTAGGTACTATGCATGTATACACTGTAAATTCAAAAGAGTCAAAACGACCCCCAAAAGAGTGTATTCATGCAATATCAACTGGATATCAACTCAATGCTGCAACATATATAATTATATTATATTATGGGATTCGAGATAATAATTTCCATATACACATTTGAAGTTTTTTTGTCGAAAGGTAAATATTACGGTTTATTATCATTTCTTTTCACCTATTATTACAGAAATGACAGACAATTTTTTTACAGAAATGACATACAATTTTTCATGAAGTTTTAAATATACGTTTGAGCACAGTATGTATATTGCATAATAGCTATTTCTCATGCACTCAATTTATAAAGACTAAAGTTTTAAAATGGTAAATACTCGAGTTTGGCTTACATAATATATAGCATGCCATCACAATGAATCTTATTTTTTCAATAAACCATTAGAGAATAATTTATTATGGGGACTGCTCGCAGTTTAAGAGGTTAAAGAGGAAGAAATTGTCTGCATGCCGCTATTAACTTTTTAGGATCTCGTACCATTACAAATATATCTCGTGCCTATTTTGGGTCTCATGCCATTACAATTAATACTAGGTTACCCACAGGGCAGTAATGCTGCCTTTGACAGCAAAATACAAACTACAGGGTGTTGAACGAGTCCTTCAGAAACATCCTATTATTGTTTAGCCTGCATGGCAGGCGGTTCCTAAAATTGGGAAAGCCTGGGAAATACCGCCTGTCATGCAGGCTAATTATTGTTATCCTTGTTAACCCATTTATTGACAGTACCCTACCACTGACTGAGTATTAAAAATCGTCTGGCGTTGCACAGGGTAAATACTAAAGTATGGGTCATTACTGTGTTGACGAATTAACAAGAGCCATTGGCAGATAGGTTTGTTAACCCATTTACTGGCAGTACCCTATACCACTGACGAGTAAAATCTTCTGGCGCTCGACAAGGGAAGGGCGCATTGCCAGCTAATGGGTTAAACCACCGTGGTTAAACATAAGATTTCATGATGCTCCAGGAAATGTAAACAAGCTATCAGTGTGACATCCCAGTTTATATATTTATATACTCGGAATATTGATTTCTCGGTACATACAAAATTATTTTAAAATATAACAACCAGCGAAGACGTAAGGCACTAACTATCAATATTTTCAAAAGCGGCCAATTAGACCAGGGGTTAAAGGGCAATGACAATGACATGCAGATGACATTTAACATTGCGTTTCACTAATTAAAATTTGCGTGTTTAATAGTGTTTATCAAAGAAAGCAAAAATATATACAAGACAATCTCACATGTGGATTTTTTTCACTTACAATACGTACTGCCTTGTGATGCAGTACAAGTATAAATACAAATGACAAAGCATTTGTAAATCCTAAAACATAATTAAATCATACGGCACGTTTAAGATTTTAATATCGTATTTCAGCCGCGTTTATACTGTTTGGCGCATTCGCTGCGTTATATTCATTTAATTATATACACAGAAAAGCATGTCATTGTCTTTGCAGACCATAGGCAAAAAGCATTTGTCAACCATGCACCTACCTTAAATCATATACATGTCATGGAAAGAATATGGAAATAATGTTGCCGCATCGCGTATAATATGCATATAGTGCTCGACGAACCACTGCGTATAATTGCAAAAGCATCGCGTATATAAATGGTGAAAGCACCGCGTATAATACTGGAACCACCGCGTATAATGGCGAAAGCACCGTGTATAATGCCAAAAGCACCGCCGTATAATGCTAAAAGCACCCAACAAAATGCCGTTTGATTACTTTAAGCCATCTATGGCTTTCCATAAAAGAAGACCAAAGATGAGACATGATCACATTGCCTTATGCCTGACCGCGCTGCACCACGGTTAAAATTCACTGGTACCGTCATGCAATGCGCCAAATAGAAAATTTTGAATGCGACCCACAAAACAAAATTAGATCTGCCGCCTTGCTCGCTCGCTTCAGGCTCGCTCGCTGCGGCAGCAATTATACATTTAGAAAATAGAGGAAGAGATTGTCTGACAGATTATTTTTGTTGTCATAAAAATTATATAACATTTTTTCACTTCAGCCATCGAGAACAAGAAAATACAATTTACTCTTAAATATTCATTTTGCCTTTTGGCCAATAAGCTATAGATCATATATTCAATGCGCAAAAATTACTTCTTAATGGATGAAAGTCGTTTCCTGTTAAATTGTCATGCATGTTTTTTTGCATTGAAGCTTGACGATTTTATCGCGTATATGCTTACGTTTCAAACGTCACATGTTTGAGCGCAAACGTGCCAGGTTTATAGTAATGGAAAGTTGCGTTGTTTACATAAAATTGTCACGTTTGTGGAAAAATACCGGCACGTTTTGATCACGCGTGCACGCCAGGTTTTAAGCAATTTTCCGAATGTTACACTAGTATAAAATTCAAGTTATTTTGCAAGATAGAATGAAATATAATAATTATGATGTAAAGATTGTCCATGCATGCCCACACATTTCATTTTCTCATATCGATACTGTAAACAACACGGGGAATTTTATAAATGCAAATTAAAAACATTTGTACCCCTCTTGCCGATCACGCTCCCCAAAGTTTAGAATTATAGTAACTTTGGTGGGCCGGAAAATGAATAAATTAGCGGACTAACATACATTTTATCGGGTATAAGCGTTGTTTTTTTTACTTTTCATCGACAAGTGACTGTTAAAATAAAAAAGAGAAGAGATGACAATTTTCCAAAATTAAATAAGCTAGCATCCATTAATTCCCGAAAACATCGAAACACAATTCCTGTTGATTGTTGACTGCATGTGTTGTGGCAGAACCTTTTTAATAAAACACAGTGCGAGTTTATTTAATATCTTTAACAAAGCTATAGCTTTGTTTTTATTCAAAACTATCACTTCATAAATTGTGTAAACTAGTTTTTTATTCTTCCTTTTGTGTTTTAAGAACGGTTTAGGTTTTTCTTGCTTATATAAACCGAGTTTGTAGTTAAGACGTCGAAATAAGAGGCAGCGCCAAGGCGGCATTGTATATCTGTTTGCCGTCTATTTTGTTATCATACATTTGTGCTGTAATCACCCTGTAAAATTATTATGAAGTAATACAGATGATGTTCTTGGGCATAAATGTATTTTGGCCCGACTTAGACTCGTTTACATCAGCTCTATATTGCTATAACATGGCCTTTTTAAAGAATTTTTCAGAATTTTCGAATTTTAAGGCATTTTCTAGATTGAATAAAGCATGCGTTCGCGTCTATAGCAATACTGTTTCACCAACTTGTCATCAGGATGTGTTTGTACAGCTTGTTCCCAACTTGTTGACAATTTGCTACAATGATATTTTCTGTGTTGGTGCAATGTACTCAGGTGAATATGATGCTTGCGATGTTACTCTGAGTGTATATCCACACCGGGCAAGCTTGAAAAATATGCCTGACCACAGTGGGAATCGAACCTACGACCTTTGGAATACTAGCCCAATGCTCTGCCAACTGAGCTACGCGGGCTTCCCACCGTGGTCAGGCATATTTTTCAAGCTTGCCCGGTGTGGATATACTCTCAGGGTAACATCGCAAGCATCGTATTCACCTGAGTACATTGCACCAACACAGAAAATATCATTATTACTAGATTACATCGATATCGAAGGAACTAGATTCTGTTCCGACATATCACATATTCGAACCGACCAGACCGCGTAGCTCAGTTGGCAGAGCATTGGGCTAGTTTTCCAAAGGTCGTAAGTTCGATTCCCACCGTGGTCAGGCATATTTTACAATTTGCTACAATGTTGTTGCCTCCAACCCATTGAAATGAATATAACTGGAACTCTACCTACAGATAAACTGCCTATCTTTTTTCTTGAAGCCAAATTTTACCTCCAGACACGCGTGTCTGGAGGTAAAATCACGCGTGTTTATGACATGATTGACTGATTGAGCGCTCTTCGCATGCATGAAAAGGCTGGGCATGACAACAAGAATTTGGCTTCACATTTCCGATTGGAGGAAGCGTTCCAGTTCTATTCAGTTCAATGCTCTAACCACGGTTAATAGAACATTAACCGTGCTCCAACAGACTCGTTACAAGTTGCTCCAGCAACATGTTTTCGTGCAACGACTTGTTGACAAGTTGTGAGGTTTTTGCGTGTGTGTATAGTCTATATAGACTAGACAAGTCTGTTTTGTAGATTTTTTAGCTTTACATATGAGAGCAACACAAGCAAACTGCTAAATATCTTCTTGCCAGAAGTTTTGTTTTCCATTTCGCCTCGTATATGGTAAGAATCATTTTACGATACAGTTTTAAGCTTGACCACGGTGTGTTGGTGTTATGTACTCAGGTGAATATGATTTTGTGATGTTACTCTTTGTGATTTTACTCTGAGTGTGCATATCGAAGGAACTAGACTCAGTTCCGAAATACCATCAACTCGAACCTACCTGACCACGTAGCTCAGTTGGCAGAGCATTGGACACCAATCCCAAGGTCGCGGGTTCGATTTCCACCATGGCCAAGCTTTTCAGCAAACTTTTCAGCGGCTAGCCCGGTGTGGATGCACACTCAGAGTAACATCACAAACATCATATTCACCTGAGTACATAACACCAACACACACAAAATAATCATATCATAGATTATAATATAGTCATCCACCGTATATGAGCTGTTCTGCAATCTGATTGGTTGAATTACTCGCCGTATATATATCAGCTCATATCAGTGGCTCATATACGGCGAGTAGCGAAAAACAAGATGGCGGTCCCAAAACTACATGAGTTTTGCGAAGCAGAAAAAAGGAAAATATTCGCTTTGAGAAAGATAATAGTAGTATAGTACAAGGAAAAACTCTCAAAAAAAATTTGACAGGTTACGAAAATACATTTATTACGTAGAAATTAGTTTAAATACAAGTTTTTCAAAGAATTAATACCGAAACAACAGCGAAAAAAACATGTTCATTGAGAATATAAATTGTTCAGAAAAGTTTGCAATGAACGACAAATGAATATTTGTAGTCAACAAGCACTTACTATAGTACCAAACATCTGTATAGTATATCTGAGCTTTCCTGTGAGATATAGAGGTTCTAAAACCATTTCTTTCACTTCGTCTTCGAGTTGTAAAACAAATGTTTTTCAAATTTTCAAGCGGTTTTTGGCCGAACAAATTGTCAACACATTGTATAACAGTGAATAATTACTATTGCTTCAGTTAATGGCTATATTATAAAACAATTATACCATTCGCTCTCGTCGTATATGGCGGATAGCCGACTCGGTGCTACGAACCTCGTCGGCTATCAGCTCATATACGACGAGAGCTCATGTGATAATTGTTAAATATACTGATATCGAAGGAACTAAACTGGGTTCCGAAATATCATCAAGTCGAACCGACTTGACCACGTAGCACATTTGGCAGAGTATTGGACTAGTATCCCAAAGGTCACGGGTTCGATTCCCACCGTGGTCAAGCTAACTTTTCAGCTTGCCCGGTGTGGATGCACACTCAGAGCAACATCACAAACAAAAGATTATTATGTCCGACCCAACTACAAATCTCGCTTGATTAGTCTCAACCTGCTTTCTATTTCGTATTGGTTGGAGTGTCGTGACTTATGCTTTGTTTATAAGTATATGAGCGGTTCATTTAATGTACAGCTTGAAGATTACTTACAAGTCTCCAGTGGTCGCACAAGGAACTCTACTGATAGTTTGAATCTGTATCCAGTACACCGTCTCCATACTTCATTATTTAGACAATCCTTCTTCAATCGTGTTTAAAGCTTTGGAATAGTCTACCACTTGAAATACACAAATCATCTTCCATTTCTTGTAGGTCTATTCCTGTTGTTAGTAGGGAATTTAAGAAGTTTAAGATGCCACAACGGGTGCGGAGTACGGTTGAAAGCTTGTTTTTGCATTGCTTTAACCGCTTTAACAGAGGCAGACAAAATTTACATATCCCCAGAGCATACTTTTTACCATAGAGAGCTTGGCTACAACGTAAAAATCACATTCTTGTGTTGTAAAACAGCATCAAGAACATACCACCGAAACTGACTACGCAACGTTGCAGATTGGAGAGTATTTTCATAAAGAAATGTTGAAAATTAAAAGATGAAACTTGCCGAACACAAAGCCATGCACATAAAACAGATTTGGGATAAATTTGTTATGACAAGAATTTAGTATTTGCATAAAAACTTTAGTAGTAACTGCCGTAAAACTTTCAATTTCAAACGTAGTCGGTAGTTCGTCGTCAATACTTTTTTAAGCGACGACGGTGTAGTCTCTTCCTTGACTGTACAATGTACATCTTTATCTTTAAAATTAGGGTTAGTATTATAGCGCATTTTCTGAAATAATTCCTAATAAATTAATTTGTTTTTAAGTTGGTATGTGCAGTCAACCTGGGTAATAACCAGAAAATTTTAATTCGAGTGTTAATTTAATTTTAGATGTTTCATCTGAACTTGTAACATTCTCTTATGGTAAAATTTGTTTTTCAGACGTAGAGTTGAAGAGCAAAAAAGAATCAACGGAAAATACATTGGACGCAGACTTCACTGAGACATCAACTACAGCTCGTGATGTATTATTTGAAAGTCGTAAAGAGAAGCTATTACTGAATATATATATCTTCAGTGATTTTGCTGTTGGTTTTGCTTTTCTTATGGGTATGGTACCGGTGAACATCTGTGCTTCTTATATGCACTGACAGTGGCGTACCAAACGATACCATTTTCATACATTTTATATTCTATAAATAGCTTACAATAAGTTCTTTGTATGTTTGCATGGCGATAAAATATAATAGTTTTGTTTGTGGAAACACCACGTGCAAAGCTTTCGATCCGTAAGCTCGGATCTTCATATTATTAGCACTGATGAAGATCCGGGCTTACGGATCGAAAGCTTTGCAGTAATAAATTTACGTGTTTCCACAAACAAAACTATTAAATAGCTTACACTTGTATTTTATAGCTTTTAATTACGAGCTTTATACTGACCCTTACTGACTAGCAGATAATAACAGGAATTGCACCCAGTGAACATGCTCTAATTAGACTAAGTATAATTTTAGTAATGTGGGTTTTCAATAAATATAGATTGCTTGATATTTTGTCTATATCCGCCCCTGACGTTTTAGTAAACTAATAGTATAATACTGTATAAAAATACTACAAAGGCAGATGTCAAAGTATGCTATACGTGATAAAAGTATAAAATATCATTCAAGTGAAGTAAAAATTGAACTTGTTAAGTACCTTTGTTACGTAATTTCTGTGCTCAAATAGTCAAATCCATCTTTCAACGACACTCTTTCGACGATTTCAAATAAGAAACGATTTAACCAAGCCGAAAGGTCCCGAACAGCACTCTACATGCAGTGAGTCAACCGAACTAGTTAGTGTGCGCTTGCCTTAGCAGTCTTTGCAGAACACTCAAATCCCATCTGCATGTATAATCACTATTGAAATAACGTATTGTTAGAATTTGAATGCCTCAGCACTTTGCTGAACCCACAAGTGCATCAAAGCTTGACATAAGTAAATTTTATGCATAAAGAAACTGTTCAAAAAGCTGGTTTAAATTCCAAAGATCAGAAAATCGTGCGCTTGACAAAGATATTTTAAATTCTTAATATAAGTCAGTATTTATAATACAGTCTTGATGTCAATATCTTACCCATCTTTGCGTTCCGATTATACAGGATGTATCAGAAAAGGGAGACCTTTAGAAATCAAGCATATTGTTAAAATTTGAATGCCTTTTCAAATTTCAATTGCACATATGCTGAACTGTAGTGCGTGAAATATTGATGGAGTGCATATATTAGAAAAAGGAGACTTAAGAAATCAAACATTGTTATACAGGGTGTATAAAAAAAACGCAACCTCGGAATTTCCTAAGAAATCACTTTGCAAATTCTTAAGCATAAAAGATTTTAGGCCCCTGGGAATTGAAATCGAATTGCTAATAGATCATATTACTGTTGCTGTGCATTAAATAAATGCATAAATTTTGCTTTATGCACTCGCGTGTGCAGTAATTTTGACAGTCGTGCTATTTTAAATTCCCAGGCGCCTAAAATACTTTGTCTTTAAAACAATGTCGATTTCTCGGGAAATTCCGAGGTTGCGTTTTTTTTTATACACCCTGTACAGGGTGTCCCAGAAAAAAGTACCCTCTATAGAAATTATCCTATTGTTATAATTTGAATGCCTGAGCTCTATGCTGAACACAAGAGTGTGTAAACACAATTGAATTGAATTTTTAATTACCAGTCGCATAAAATCCTGTGCTTAACAACAATAGGATAAACTTCTAGAGGGTACTTTTTTGGGGACACCCTGTAATTTGAATCCTGGAGCACTTTGCTAAGCCCACGAGTGCGTAACAAGCGATCTACGTATAGTATGCATGGCAGATAGCAGGAGCAGATAATCTTGTGTTCAAACGTTATTTCAATTTCTAAGGCCCGTTTCATACGCCGTACTTCACATGTGCCGAATACATTAAAGACAATAGATAATGAGCTGAAATGCCTCATTACCTATTGTTTTTAATGTATTCGGCGCCGCACATGTGAAGTACGGCGTATGAAACGGGCCTAAAAGTCTCCTTCGGGGCGCATATATTAGAAAAAGGAGACTTTTAGAAATAACGTTTAAACACAAGATTGTCTGCTCCTACAATCTGCCATGCATATACTGTACGTAGATCGCATGTTACGCACTCGTGGGCTTAGAAAAGTGCGCCAGGATTCAAAGATCCAGATTGTCTCCTTTTTTATACACCCTGTAGTGCTAGGGCATTGAATACGTTATTTCAATAGTTCTGGTCCTGTTCTAAATTAAAATTCTTTTGAATTGGAACTCCAACATGGCGACTGTGACGTCTCCAAATTTGGAGTGCTCTTTTGCGTTCAATATGGACTATTGAGTGCAAAGATTAAATTTTTCACAGTAATATAAAGCCCCTGGGAAAACCAAAACCTAGTGTTTTTGTATAATCGGAATTAGCTTGCCAGGAAAATGTAAACAAGGCAAGGGGTCTATTGTCAAATAAAATAAACGTCGTACAATTAAAACCTATCCCATCCTTTAAAATTGTAATACTCAACTCCACGAACTGAACACATTTTCAATATAGTTATAAACGGGTGCTATGGTTCCCTGTTCCGGTGCTATGGTTACAAAAACTCAGATAAAAACATAATACAGTGACTTCTGTTTAGTTTCCAGACCATCATATTTTGATAGACTGTGCTTCGCCAATGCCTCACGCAAAAAGGGCTATATAAACATATATAGTGATTTCTAAAACAACATATATACAACACATCGTTATAATACATGCATCAGTATTTACCCTTCAGCCCACACTCTAAAACACTATGGTTAAATTTTCCCATGGTTAACCTAGAAATAAAGTCTGGGTTACACTATCAAAGTTTCTGTGCATGATCTCAGTAGGAATTTTGCATAGGTAAATTCTACGTTTTGAAGGATTTGTATACAGAAATGTTTGAACAAACTGACTCAATGTTAGACAGCGAGTCAGTTCCCTCAAACATTTCTAACAAATCCTTCAAAACGTACAACTTACCGATGCAAAATTCCTACTGTGATCACAGAAACTTTGATAGTGTAAACCAGGCTTAACCCTATTTGGGTCAACTATAATATTTCGGTTTAAATTTCTTGGTTATTTTAACGTTTTCCCACTATAGTCTGGTTAAATTGACCAGACTATATGTTGGGTGGATAAATAACCACGGCTCAGGTTATATATCCACCTATAGCATAGTCTGGTTAGTCTGGTTATTTTAACAGGGACGTCCTGGGTCATATATAACCAAATTCCTGGTTACATTAACCAGACTATGGTACGAAGTGAGATAAACTAACCACGAAATCTAACTAGAAATATGAAGGGGAATTTCAACCAGAGTGCAGTTTTTAGAGTGCAGCTTTGGAAATTAAAAATAGAAAGACATCGTTTGTGTAATCAGTCTATACTGCCTACCTATCTTGGTGACAGATTTAAAAATCTGGAATAGTTTCCTTTATAGTTCAAACAATTGGACCATGTTCGCCGTTTCTGGCACAGAACTATAAAAGCCTGCATAAAATATGCATTATGCAGGCTTATTTTAAAGCTTTTCCTTTAATCTTCACATCGTTCTTCTCAAGTGATGAAAACACATTTTATTTACAGCTGTGATTCCTTCCTGTACTAGGGCTTTGTCCCTTTAGGCTTCGCGGTATTGTTGCTTCGTCGGTTGTCTGGTAGACTACACCGCTGTTCATCAATACGGTTGGATTGCAGACGCAATATTAGGCCAAAGAAATCTTCATCTGGCACGGTAGGGGCTTGTTGTATAAGATCGGGGTCACAACGTTGGTCGTTGATACGCGATTCCTGCAAGAAAACCGCCGATAAAGTTAATTAGGATTTTATGACCTACGACGCGACTGGACGACGACAGGACTTCAAACCAAGAAGATTAAATCTTCATGCAAAGACAAAAATAGAATCACCGTTTTGTCCATTTAAGACAACTCTCCTGCCATGTGTACGTACTAAACGAATGCCCCCCCCCCCGACAGAGTCTTCAATAGAAAGTTATACCATATTTTTACATATTTTTTACCGTGCTCAAACATATCTTCTTGAGTGATGGAATTGACTTTGCGACTTCTTACAGATATGCTCGACTTACCCCCAATACGCCCTTCAAGAAAGAGAACTAATTTAGTACAGAGCGCGTTTTTCAATTTTAGGAATATCTACACAACAAGGCTATAAAATTCCCGAGTATTCTGACTCAGAAACATTGTAGTAAAATATTGCACTCGAAGTGACTCAAAATTTTGGGTACAATTATTGAGAATTTCTGAGCATATTTACTCTTTTTTTAAGTAATGTTTTAAATTTACTCAATTTTTTGAGTAAAGATTTACTTCACTCAAAAATTAGTAAATTCGGACATAAAATTGAGTAATTTTACTTTTTAAGATTTTTGCATCGTCATTGGGGGCTGAATTATTCCAAAAATTAAACACAAAACAACAAACACTCCGTAAACACTCTATGATTTGATTATTTCTTTACAGTCATCTTCAGCAGGATTAAAACGTAGATAATTCAAATGTTAACAATTTACAGAGTGTCTATTGTTTTGTGTTAAATACTAAATTACTCTATGACGACCGTCATTATGTGTGTGTGTGCCTGTTTGTGTGCGTTTGTCTATCAATACAAGATAACTCAAAAACTATCAAACGTATTGACACGAAAATTTGCGGGACCCATGCATGACATTTCCCAAAGGACAAATTGATTAAATTTTGGTTAAATTTCATTGAAAATTGGATGAGAATTAATTAGCAACAGTTTGTCTTGCTTTGATTTGACGGGGCAGAGTGAACTAAATGCGTTATTAGCCCATTGTATAATTTATGCATAGTTGTGACTTGTGAAAGTGAGTGCCCTCTAGTTTTTACTCCAAAAATCCTCGTACATGCACTTTCCAAAAAAATCTTTCGAAAAATCTTAAAATCGTGCGATGGCTGGATGTGCAGTGGCTGGTGAATGTCGGTATGTGACAGCAAAATTTGTACTAACTACTAAAACCTTGTACGGTTGTACTAACTAGTAACTACTAAAAACAAAATACTTGAATTTTGTTTCATGTTTTAACGTTTTTGTCCGTACGTATTAAAAAATATCCTTCCAAATAAAACGAGTTCATGGGCGGACCTCTGCTAAAAACCAGCATATATACATTCAGTCGTTCTTGATAATGCGCTGTTTCCTATTAATTTAAAGTAATTTAACGCCCACGTTTCCGAGGAAATTTCATTAACGTCTCCGCGAGGAAAAGTTAATTACAGGCAAATAATAAGGAAAGTTAATGAGACAAAGTAATGCCTTCAATTTTAGCACACTTTATAATTAACAATTAAGTCTTGCATGTACTTTAATTGAATCACAAAAACATATTTTGTTTACAAATAACTATATGACAAGCAAAAACCGCACAATCTAGTAATTAATGCATGAAATATAAGGAAAACCGTTGTCATGTCTACCTTCTTAATCTTTGTTGAATCTATACCCGATTCAACCTACAAAATTTGAGGGACAGGTAGGGACAAAGGAACGAAAAATAATCTGGAACAACTAAACGTGAATATAGTATTTTGAGGTGGTCGATTTTTCTGGGAGAGAAATTTTGGATTTTTTTATGGACTGGTGGACTTGATTGACAAGCGGTTGGAAGACTGAAAAGTGTTTCACTATTCGGGTTGCAAAAAGATCTAACGATACTGTTATAGTATAATATATTTGTTGAACTAAAATGACTCATGCATGTTGACTGGGGAATATAAGTTCAAGCGAATTCCTATATGTTCAAACTTCTTCAAGAAAAAGGTTCTTCTACAGTCCTCTTCCTTGCCCGAACTCATCCACGGTGAAAATCCACTCAATTACAGCTCTCTAATAAACATGCTCTAGTTAAATTTCGAACTGACCGTTTTGAAAATTTGTTCATTCCGTCATGTGTGATGATCAATAATGAACATTGATACCCGCATTTTTAATATAGTTAAATAGTTTTCTCTTATAGTTTTAGCTTAAGTCTGCGCGACTGCGCCTCTTGCTTTTAGTAAATATTTTACTATTTTTTAACTACTCAGTTTAACTTTAACCTCCAAAAATTGTAAACCTCCGTCGGTCGCAAAGTCTGTTTTCAATTAATTCAAATTTCAAAAGCCTTCAAATAAAACAGACGTTAAAACGTGTTATATTCTGTTTTAAAATTAATTGAAAAAAAAAAGGTTAAACGTTTCCACAAATAGAAAAGAACTTCAACATACTTTGTTTCGCTCAGTAACATACAACAGCATGCATGCATGACAACTTCACTGTTCATCATGCATGCAGTCAAAAATATAATTCAAAAATGCTTACACTGAAATAAATTAACAATACAAAACTATGAATAAAAAAACTACCTATAGGCTATATACTTAATATACTTTTACTTTGCTCAGTAAAATGAATAACATTTAACTATATATATATATACATGCCATAATATACTTTGTTTATATATATATGCACAAATTATTTTTCATAAAAGCTTATATATTATAAAATTTACCGCAGAAAAAATAAGATATTATAGTTCGTTACAGCTAGAAGAAACTTAAAAATAGCTTACTTCGATACAACTGCAGTTTTGATGCTCTGGAAACCATTGGCATTCTTTTCGTTACAAGATTGGTGTTGGAACTGTTAGCTATTCTGCCCCGGCAGAACTTGATTGTATAATGCTTATATAATAAAGTGGGAATTTATTTATTTATTTATTAACTTTACAATCAAACAGAAAATATAACAATGATTGAAGGTATGGTCAACAGGACATGAGTACCATGTAAAGACCAACCTGATACAATACAATAAGTAGACATACATTAAAGACAAGGACTATAGAACACTATTTACATAGCTATATAAAAATTAATAGTTTAGATTATGAGCAACAGCTTAAGTTGAAAGAACGGCATTTAGAGCAGTAGGTTTTCCAAGTGCGCACTCTGTTAACATCGAAAGAAGAGTCTAATTGAGAAGAGTAGTGCAGAGAATGGAGCTGGAACTTAAAGGATGAAACAGACGAACTGTTACGAATGATTGGTGAGAGATTGTTCCATAGAAAGACAATTCGGAATATAGGATCTTATCTATTAATTAAACGAAGATAAAAACTCCCAAGCAACTTCAGGCAAATTGCGGTTCGCGAGCGCAAACAAAAGATAACCACATATTATCTATTAGTCTTATCTGTTTTTCAACAAATATGTGCAGTCTAACTATCAACATATATCAATTTTGCATTGCCCAAGAAAAGTCATATATGAATGCACGTCTCTGTGGAGGTCATGCACCACAAACTTTTTCCTCATATTGTAGGCCTAAAAGCCTATATTCTCTTCATATATGTTACTTTAATGGAAAGTGACGTTGTTTACATAAAATTGTCACGTTTGTGGAAAAATACCGGCACGTTTTCATCACGTGCACGTTAGGTTTTAAAGCAATTTTCCACATTTTCGAATGTTACACTCGTAAAATTCAATTTATTTTGCAAGATAGAATGAAAAATAATAATTATGATGCATAAAGATTGTCCATGCCCACACATTTCATTTTCTCATATCTATACTGTAAATAAGTAACGGGGCATTTTAAATGCATATTTGAAAAATTTATACTCCTTTTGCCGATCACGTTTCCAAAGACGTCTATATAGTAACTTTAGCGAGCGAAAATGAACAAAACAGCGGGCTATAAACATACATTTTATCGGGTGTTTTTTTTTACCTTATCATTGACGAAATAACTGTTTAAATAAAAGAGAAGAGAAAGTTCAACATATTTTGTTTCGCTCAGACTCAGTAACATACAAGATCATGCCAACTTCAGACAATATCGGGCATGTAGTAAAACATGGACTGGACTCATTAGTAAAACATGGACTGGACCCGATTAGTAAAACATGGACTCTATTAGTAAAACATGGACTCTATTAGTAAAACATGGACTCGATTAGTAAAACATGGACTCGATAGTAAAACATGGACTCGATTAGTAAAACATGGACTCTATTAGTAAAACATGGACTCGATTAGTAAAACATGGACTCTATTAGTAAACCATGGACTGTATTAGTAAACATGGACTCGATTAGTAAAACATGGACTCTATTAGTAAAACATGGACTCTATTAGTAAAACATGGACTCTATGACGAAATAACTGTTTAAATAAAAGAGAAGAGAAAGTTCAACATATTTTGTTTCGCTCAGACTCAGTAACATACAAGATCATGCCAACTTCAGACAATATCGGGCATCAAATAACTGTTTAAATAAAAGAGAAGAGAAAGTTCAACATATTTTGTTTCGCTCAGACTCAGTAACATACAAGATCATGCCAACTTCAGACAATATCGGGCATGTAGTAAAACATGGACTGGACTCATTAGTAAAACATGGACTGTGGACTCATTAGTAAAACATGGACTGGACCCGATTAGTAAAACATGGACTCTATTAGTAAAACATGGACTCGATTAGTAAAACATGGACTGGACCCGATTAGTAAAACATGGACTCTATTAGTAAAACATGGACTCTATTAGTAAAACATGGACTCTATTAGTAAAACATGGACTCTATTAGTAAAACATGGTCCTAAATGTAGTTCTTTGTCTGTTTTTTTTTGTAAATTGTAATTTTAATAATTGATAATAACATCAACTTTAGTGTATAAGAGGGCATGTAGTAAAACATGGACTGGATTCGTTAGTAAAACATGGACTGGACCCGATTAGGGGCCGATCATTTAACTTTT